TCACCCTTCCTTTTCCCCTCATGAGGCATGCTGCAGTGCAAAAATTCCTATAAAAATACCTATTTTGAGTCATTAATATAAAATGAAAAAAACAGCAGCAGCCTAGAACAGAGATGTTGAAATTTAAGAGGAAGAGAGAGAAGAAAAACCCACTGGATACCTTACGTGTGTTTGAACAGTACTTTTGTTTGTTCAAACAATTCTGTTTTATGACAAAGGCACTGAAAGATTCTGACACCACCTCTTGGGAGAGCAGTCCACGAAGTTCTAAACAGCAGACAGTGCACCACCGAAAATGTTTATGTTAGATCAGCCAAACTGTAAAACTCTTGTAACACTTCTCTGAACCCAGCGTTTCCAGTGTTTATAGATTGCTTTGCTATCTGAAAGACCCAGTTAGTATTTAAAATTTTAAAGGGTTAAAAAAGTTAATCTTTCTCCCTGCAAGTTACCTACTCACAGCTCAAATCCCACCCTGCAGGAAAAGCAGCATCGCCCTGGACCTCCTGGAATCTAGGCAGGACCTCCACACTCCAAGCTGCGACCTGCTAAAGTGATCAATGTTTTGATTTTTCACAGCTTTGAAAGCCTCTAACTGGCTTTTCCATTTTGGATCATTCCAAAGTCTGCAGCAAAATCATTAGTTTTATGATGCTGGGGTTGGGGGGCAGGGGGAGAGTGGCGGTGGGTTACAGGGGTCACTTAAGTGTTGCTAGTTTGTTCAAACTGAGATTCATTGCATGAAACTTTTAGTAGCATTTGCACTGAAATGCTGGCATTCTCTCCTTCAAAATATGGAAGGCGTGGAGGCTGGCTAGCCTTATACCACAGTTTCATTGCCTTTCCCAGGCTTCACCCAACCATTCCCTCTCTTTTCTCTCTTTACCTTCCCAGAATTCACCAATCTGTTGGAACACTTCTGCCACGTGTGAAGAGTTTTGGCAGACCAAATCCACATGCCTGAGGTGATGCCCACCAGCAAAGACATAAAAATTTTCAACATTTCAACCGCCATATTGGAGTCATCTGCGGAATACCGGAAGACCGCCCAGTTGGAGATTTCGTAGAAATAACAGGCAATCACACAGGTTGCAGGAACCGTGTACAGGACTGAGAAGACCCCAATCTTGACCATCAGCCTTTCCAACTTGTCTGTCTTTGTCCCATCCTTTTGAAGATTCGACCGAATTTTGAACAAGGCCACCAAACCCGCAGCAATGAACAAAGTTCCAATTACCAAGTAAGTGAAGAGGGGAGCTACCACAAAGCCCGTGAGGGCATCAAGGTTTTGGTTCCCGACATAGCACAGGCCAGTCAATTCATCGGCATCCACCAGTCTCATAATCAAGATGACGATGGTTTTCACTGCAGGGATGGCCCAAGCTGCAATGTGGAAATAAGAGCTGTGCATTTCAATGGCTTCATGACCCCATTTGAGTCCCGCTGCCAAAAACCAAGTGAGCGTCAGAATAACCCACCAGATGGAACTGGCCATTCCAAAAAAGTACATCAGCAAGAAAATGATTGCACATCCTGTGTTCTTAAGTCCTTCTTGGATGAGAACAGGTTCTGCTGCCTCTTCAAAATCGCAGGATATCCTTTCCCGGCCTACAGTCAGCCTGACAATATAAGCAATGCTATAAATATTATAGCACATACTGAGAAATATGATAGGGCGCTCAGGGTAGGAAAACCTGGAAGAATCGATGAGGAAGGTCAGCACTGTGAAGGCGGTGGAGATGAAGCACAGGCTGGCCCACACGGCCATCCAGATATCGGTGAACTCCTTGGCAGAGCGGCTGTATAAACCAGCATCATAGCCACACTTGAGAACGCAGTTCAGGCTCCTTTTCACCCAGATGTACTGATCGGAATTGGTTCCCACGGAATGGCACTCTTCCCCAGGCTGGACGGGGGTTTTGTGAGGTAACGGCACCTCCTCATCACCGGGCCCTTCCATGCACATGTGGTTGTGGTCATTCTGGGGTGGGAATTTGCTGCAGTTCAGGCTCTCCGGCCAGGCGAACCCAAATTCCTTCAGGACAGGTTCACAGCGTCTCTTGACTGAAAGGCACATGCCGCCGCACGGGCCGATGGGGATGTTGATCTTCTCTGTGCACATTGGCACATAAACCGAACAAAGGAAGAACTGCAAAAGTCATGAAATGAACAAAGAAAACAATGACTTGGAAGTCTGACCAAACACTTGCACAAAGCTGAGCTGAATGCTTCCAAACTACGTATCTACTTTTAAACCAGCCTGTAGGGAGTCCGACTGTTTACTGTGACCCCAAACACCGGTGCCCAATAATCCATCACTTACACACTTTCTTCTTTTGGTTCTAGTAATCCTTTCCAGGAGAACATAAATAAATAAATACATAAAAAGGACCTGAAGAATTACATAATCCCTTTCTGCACAACACTTAAGGAAATAAACCTTAAAAAACTGACTTTGCGTCTCCCTCCCCTTTCAGCTACTATTTGAAGGAGCTGAACAGACTAATTAAACGACTGAGTCATTTCGGTGATGAGGTGATTTATTTTTATCCCCATTTCTTTATCACCGTAAGAAAAAAATGTAGATCCAGGTTTTCTCCTGTTAATATTCTCTCTTTTCTCTACTTTATCCCCTAAAATTATTTTTTAATCAGTCCCATATTGCAAGAGAAAATGTCCTAATTGAGACTCTGTTAGACCTAAGGATGGGAGGCAGGTTGAGGTCTCTGGACACCAGGGGCTCATTTGGCCAGGTTTTCTGAATGAAGCACAATAGGAAAATATAAATGTTAAGTCCTTGAAACTGCAAGACCAGCAGGGGAGAGTCCAGTTGCTGTCCTCAATTCCTCCAGCATTGATAAACACTCTGCTTGGCTCCGGACAGATGTTGTCTATGAAGTCTAGAGTTACAAGTAACTATTTTCCAGTATGTAAAGGGATCCACTCCTGTCCTTCAAAACAGCTTGGCTGCTTCCCCAGGATACATGTAATTAAAAATATAGATCCCTGGAAAAGCTGTTTCTCCAACAAAACTGCCACTGATGTCAGGACATGTGCTGCTTCCAAACTGAGAGCAAGAGGATCATTTCTTAAGCTTTTATAACCTAGTTCTAAAGTTCTGAAACTTCCAAAGGGACAGTTCACCGGCAACAGGTCTAATCCCAACCATCTTTCTGAAACCACAATCCAACTTTTAAAATGACCTATGTAAAAACATACACCTAGGAAGGAAGCTGCCTGCCTGCTTCTTATCTTTAGAAGTTAACAACCAGAACTGGGGATTTCTGAAGCTTTTAGCCTAGACAACTATCTTCTATTTTTTCCCCCAATTCTCTCTTTTCTAAATTTCTAAAAATCACTCATAGTTTCACTAACCCAAACACAACCACTGTTAAACTTTTCAAATTTCCTTTCAGTTTTTTTTAATGAATTGCTGTTTTTGTAAGATTATAATCACCCTGTATATGCAAATTCTTTCTTCACTTATTGTAGGATGAACATTTTCTCTATCATTACATAGGTTTTAAAATTTTTAATGACTGCAAAAAATAATAATAATCTTCCAATATACAAACTACCTTCCTGGACCTTGACCATAAACATCACCTTTTTCCCAAACTGTGTTTGCTCTCCCTCCAAGCAACAAAACCTGCCTTCAACCCCGAGGATAAGAAGGAACCCAAGCCAACTCGACCATTCCTTCCTGCATGACCTCCAAAATCATGCGGGACGAGGTGAAGAGGGGCCATTCCGCAGAAAATGAGGCAGTCGTTTTCATTTAACAACCCACCCAAAAATATGGGAGAGAAAGGAGGTCGATGAGGCAGGAGAAGTTCTCATCTTCTTATCTCGCCTTCCAAGTCTTAGCTACAGCTGGTTGCCCGGCCGGGAACTCGCCTACCGAGCAGCGGGGGCCAGAATCCTTGGCAAAGATAACCCTCAGCTCCACTGGGGTTAGGGGCTTGGCCAGACACGGGTGGGCAGGGGAGAAAACGGAAGGGCGGGTGTACGAGTGGGTTCTTTCGCAGGCCAGATGCCTTACACAACGTTTTGGCTTCCAGTCCCTGAGAAGGGACAGAAAAGTGGGGGTGGGGATGGAAATCACTTTTCCAGGACAATTATACCCTTTAGCCTAGGAAGGGGGCAGGGGGCTCGACTTGGCAAGGCTTTCACGGAGTTCGTTTGGGGCGTCCCCGCCCATGGGGTCCCGCCAGGGGTGGGGGTGGGGTGCCCACCTGCAGCTGGCTGGAGCAGCCGTACTGGATGAGAGGCGTGAAAGTTGTCAGCTGCAGCTCGGCGTCCGTCTGAAGCTCGTGCCCCACCAGGTTGGGCATCTTGGTCACGTTGTAGCCCAGGTTCTGGCACATGGAGATGCGGATGGGGTCGCAGCGCCGCTCCTCCTCGTCCCCGAAGCCCCGCGCCGGCCCCAGGAGTAGCAACAGCAACAGCAGCAGCCGCAGACTGACACCGATGCCCCCAGGCGCCCCCGGGACGCTCGGCCCCGCGCCCCGCCAGGCCATGGCCAGGGCCGGGGGCAGCAGCGGCGGCGGCGGGGGTTGCTCCAGCAGACACCCCCAGTTTGCACGGGGGTGTTGGCTGCCCGCGCTGCTCCCAGCTCCGGGGAAGGGAGTGTGATAAGGCACCAAGGGCGACGAGGAGGCAGCGGCGGGCTCTCCGGCAGCTGCGCGCGACTGTGTGGGATATTAGACGCCCCGGGCTCGGGCCGAAGGACAGACTGCGAGGGTCATGGCTGCAGGCGGCGAGCCCCAACCCCGAACCGATCGCGTCCACCCTGTGTCTCCGCGGAGCCCGCCAGCACCCAGCGCAGCACCACTCGCACCGCCCGAGCCCTCCGCGGCGCTGGAGGTTCGCTGGGCGGGGGCGGGGCGGGACGGACAGCGAGCCCCTCCAATGGCCGGGCGCGGTGGACAGCGAGGGGCGGGGCCGCTCTGCCGCTGGAAGGGTCAGGCCCCACCCGCCGGCCCCCCTCCTCCGTCCCTCCCCGGCGCGCCCCGCCCCGCTTCCCGGCTCTCACTTTCCTCCACCCGGTTCGCGGCGCTCAGGGGCCAGGCGGGGATAGAGCCGAGTTGCTCCGGCCGAGCCAGCCTGCCCCCTCCTCTCTCAGGTGAGAAGTGCTCCCAGATCACTCGGCTCCCTTCCCTTTGCTTCTTCCAGCTGTCACCTCGGTCCCTGGCCCCCTCCCTAGGCAGAGAAACGTACACAAAGAACACGGGATTTGGATTTACAAAGATTGTGGCTTTAAATCCCGGCTGTGTGACCTTGAGCAAATTGCTCAACCTCTCGGCGTCAATTTCCTCATCCGTAAAGTGACTTGGGAGGATTAGAGATAATGCGTAAAACACTTAGCGCCGTGCCTGGTACAGCGTGAGCTCGCTGCTATTTTCACTCCTAACTTGCTCGGCTGGGAGCCCGGCCCCCTCTCCCCGCCCCCAGACTCGGCCCGACCTGCGCCCGGGAGCTGCCCGTCTCCAGCCGCGAGTGGGGGAGGCGCCCCGGAGCAGCCCAGCCGCCGACGGTCTCGCGCTCCGATTTCCTCACCGTATGAAATGAAATTCCACAGGGGGATTCGAAAGGAAATGAGACCGGGACGCTCCGTGCTTCTCGGCCCGCCGCCCTTCCTGTCTCGGGGACACGGTTTCTAAATAAGGTTGGGAGGGTGAGAGGGCGGGAGGGGAGAGGCTTGACCTGTGCACCGGGGGCGAAGAAGGCGCGCAACCAGCGGGCTCCCCTCCCCCAGCTGCCAGGCGCCCCTCCCGTGCAGCCAGCATCTCTTCCTAACTTACTTTGCTTCTGCTTAGGGTCCTGGGGATGTGGGGATCCTGCGACCCGTCTTTTGCTGCAACTCTCCCCTCTCTCATTCCCAGCAAGCTCCCCCACCCCTCCCCCTCCCCCACCCCTCGGACGGAGTTTTGTGCCAGTGCACCCTCTTCGCTTTCCACTTGGGCCGGTGAAACCCTCAGCAGGTGGATTCCTAAACTATCTGTTGCTTGACTGTGGTCAGGCTGCTGTGCCTCTCTGAGCCTCAAATTGGCCATCTGTAAAATAAGGAAGTTTATGTCTAGCCTACACGGTTGGCCTAAGAGTTAAATGAGAATGCCGGTAAATCATTTAGCACAGCGTCTGGCACATTCTAAGTGCGGAAAAACTTGGTTATTGTCGTTGTGGGACAACCTCCTACTTTTCAGCCTGGTGCCAAAGACATCTCCTGCAGCCCAAGTCTCAGGATCTGGGTAAAGAGCTGTCTACTCTCTTCCTGAGACTTTTTGTCCAACACTTGCCACTGTTTTCCTGGGGCTTGATGACAGGGACCAAGTTTTTATGCATGTTTGTATCTTCCCATTTCAGCCAAGTTTGGCATTAGGCAGAGGCTGGATACAAGTTAGAAGGACATCTGTATCACTCACGTAGTGCTTATATTCTGTCTTGTATTTTTAGTTTTCTTATACTGGCAACTAGGCTTGGCTGAGGGCAAGAATGGAATGAACTTTTTTTGGTAATTTGGCTCTGTGCCTAGAACTGTGTTGGGCACAAAGAAGCCACATTGTCTCCAGCCATCATCATAACCTCCCAGGAAAAGAGGCTCTATTAGCCCCTTAAAGAGATGGAGAAACTGAGGTTGGAACCAGAGCGATAATTAGAAAGGAAACACCAACCAAACCAGGGCCCAAAGGAGGCCTTTCAAAGATAGAGGGCAGGGTTATTTCACCAGAAAAGTTCCCAGCTGGAAATCTACACACTCAGCAGTAGGGTTGAATCTTCTGTATCTCTGTGCTGAGTCATGCATGAGACTCTTGGCCTACAAAGATAAATAAATGATCAGATGAATGAAATCAAATGAATAGATGATCCCCACCCTCTCGGAAATCACAGGAGGAGACAAAGAATAAACAGACAACTATAACTCAGTGTGGTAAGTGCACAGAGAGAGAATTGTGGGTAAATTGAAGGTAGAGGTGGCTGAGTTTGGAGGGCTGCTCCAACGGGATGACCTGCAGGATTCTGAGCTACTCAAGAAAGCAAAATTAATGTGCAGTGGGCACTTCTAGGGCACTTGCAGGGAGGGGAGGGGGCGTGCTTTGTGCTAAAGATATGTGTCCATGGTTTATTAAACAGTGAACTCCATGAGGTCAAGGAGCAGGAGCTGTCCCTTGCACAGGACCTGGCACACAGAGGGAAGACCATTAGTGTTGGCTGAAGGAGTACTATTATCCAATCAATAACAAATAACTCATATGGAGCCCTTACTCTGTGCCAGATACTGTGTTACGTGCTTTACATGCATTATCACATTTATCTCATGCAACACCTTGAGAAAACTGATGTTCTGAAAGGTGAAGCAATTTGCCCAAGATCACACAGTAAGTGACAGAGAAGGATTCAGAGGCATGTCTGCCTGGCCCAAAAGTCTGTGCATGGTATTGCTCTCACAGAGGAAACTGCTTGACACTCAGTCTAATCCTTAGTTAAAGATGACCCTTTTGTGATCTGGAGCTCTTATTCCCAGTCCTGGCATCCCCTGCCTCAGCTTGCTTGAAGCAGCTGTCTCCTTTGAGAACACTTGAAGAAGCCCCTTGCCCGTCAGAAGCTTTTCCTGTCAACAGCTTTTCTTTCCCGGCATGGAACTCATCGCAGGTATTTTCCAAAAAAGAAAGCCAGAGGAATCACATTTCAGTCTGAATGTGGAAAGAAAACAAAGACCACAACTTAGAGCTAAGTCTGAATGGCCTGGAGCCCCTCAGCCTCCCTCTCCCAGAGTGGTTTACACAGGCACCAGTCTGCTCCTGGTGACAGGCCTGGCATGTTTGTCTTTGTTGCAGAAAACACGTCCCTGAGGCAATTCCAGGCAGAGGTCTGTCCACCCTGTAACATGCAGAGCGTTTAGGAGAGGAGTCGAAGATAGGGACACGTGAAGACGACCTTCCGTTAACCTAAAGGGCAGGCCAGGGACCCCTAGTGGCTCTGGCTCGAGTGCCTGAGCACCTTCCTCTGGCCTCTCTCTGAGAGTAAAGATCCAGGCACTTTGGAGCTGCAGCAAACATAACTTCAGCAGGCTGCTGGGCAGTTGCTGGGCTCTCCATTTGCATCTAATGAGAGGCTGGGTTCTAATTAACTCCTGTGATGTGTTAATTTTTCAACCTGACATTTTCTGCTCTAATAGATTCTTGTAATGGTTCCTAAATTAAAGGCTGCATTTGAAGACTAGTGTTTAGGTTAAAATCCACCACCTAGGGGGGTGGGGGGCCGTAAACATCCTTTCCCTCCTGAGGAAAACCTCTCATTTGCAGTTCTTTGCTAACCCAATTAAGTGCTGAAGTAGTCACCCCAGAGCCTGCTTTTTATTTCCTGCGAAACAATCCAACTAATCCATATTCAGTAGCTTCCAAGAAAAGTCTTATTCCAACCACTCATGAAGAAACCAGCTTCTTTGAATCTGGACAGAACGTTTAGAACTCACAAAGAGTTGTCTTGATAGAAAATGTAAGAAAGTGGTTCATTATCCTGTTTGGTTTTTGAGGGGAAAATTCGCTGAGACTTAAACCTCATAAAGATTGGGAATTTACGGTGGAATGATGGAAGCATCGGGAGAATCCATGCTGTATCCCATTAGCTTCTAGATAGTCTGGCTGCTCCATCTTCCCCTGCACCCAAACTAGTTATAAAATAAAAATATGGGAAATGAGTAAAGCAGAAGGGAACACTAGTCTTGCTCCAAGTTGAGGAATCAGAGGCCCCGAGAGGTTAAGTAACAGCTCCTAGGTGGCAGAGCCAAACTCCCTTCTTCTTATCCATTGCATCACCAGCCAGCAGAGAAGAATCAAGTCACCACAGAGCTCTTGCATGTCAAGGAATCAAAGCCCTGTTGTTCTTCCTACCAAGCATAAGATGGTACATAGGACATTCTTATTTGTTGGTGGTGATGGTTTAACGTACAAATGGGCAACCAAGAACCTTTGCAGAAGGCCAAAAATAATGCAAACACGCTTTGTACCTCTACAATCTCGTTTCATTTCAGTATTCATCAGTCAAGCCATTTAACAAATCTTCAGTGATGGGTTATTGTGTACTTGTCACTCCCATGGAAGGAGGTATGCGGACATATAAAAGGTGGTCCCTGCTTTCAAGGAGCTTGCGGTCGCATTGGAGGAGATTAAGACATGAGACCAAGCATGGAACAGGTAATTTATGGTTAAGTACTTTTTCTTGAGCTCCCTTACTGTATTATAAGTTTGGTTTTTTTGTTTTCTTTGGTCTCCTTCACAGCCCTCTGAAGTGAGAGGCTGTGTCTTCTCCACTGTGTTCCTGAACAGCAAAGAAAAAGACTGCCTGACCCATAGAAGGCATTCAGTAGATACTTGTTGAATAAATAAAGGAATGGTTCAGGCTATAAGTGCTCCAGTTCTTCAGAAAAAGAGAGCATCATGTGCTACGTTGTAAGAAACCACCCAAATACAACCTATCTGGTTCCAGGATGATAATCAAGTCTAGTCTATAAGCCACTTCTACAGAACAGCTTTCGGCTTTCTTCTGAACTTGGACATTTTGCTGATCATTTATCTTCTTTTTCTATTTTACTGAGCTGATTCTTAAATTTTTTAACGAAGAAAAATGTCTTGACCAAAATTGTTGTTTGATTCAGAAGCCTGTTTCTCTATTTCATGAATCAGCCCAAGACATTTCCTTATCACTGTTCACTGGCTAGTCTCACCATTCATCTCATTATTATCAGCTGAAGCCATTAGGAATTGTATCTGCCACAAGACAGGTGGTAATCAGGACTCTCAAGCTAGGGAGTTATAAGTCAGGGGATCACTTGTAAATGGTAAGTTTGTAGAAAAATTGGAATGTGAGCTTAGCTATAAGGAATGTGTGAGTTTCCAAGAGACTTGGAAAAACATGAAAAGGAAGGCATGTGTAATAATTTTCTCATAGGCAGTACTCTGATCAGTTGACAGAAGAGAAATGAACACAAATAAAAATGATGCTAAATAATAACCAAATGGTGAACTAGCCACCTTCTGTGGATTAGCGTGAACTAGACTAGACAAAGTCCTAGGTAGTGGTTTTAAAATATAGCCTCAAATTCATCAATGTTCCTCCCATTGAAAGGTAGAGTTTATGCTTCCTCTTCTTGAATCTGGGAGGACTTGTGACTTCTTCAGCCAACAGAGTATGGTATCAGTGACACTAAGTGACTTCCAAAGCTACGTCATAAAAGGTCATGCAGTTTCTCCCTTATTTGCTGGGAAATTCGCTTTGGAGCTCTGAGCAGCCTTGTAAGTCATCCAGCTACCTTGAGACTGCCGTGCAGGAGAGGCCACATGTAGGCTTTCTGGTTAATAGTCCCGGATGAGCCCGTCCTTCAGCCATCCCAGCTGAAGTGCCAGAAGTGTGAATGAAGAAGCCATTTGGGAAGTGAATTCTCTGGCCCCAGCTGTTCCTACCCCCAGCTATTTGAGTCATCCCAGCCCAGACATTGTGGGGCATAGAAGAACCATCCTTGCTGTGCCCTTTCCAAGTTCCTCACACAAAATCCACAATGGTTATTGTTTTATGCCAATCTCAGTACATTTGGGCTGCTATGACAAAATACCACAGACTGGGTGGCTTTTAAACAGAAATTTATTTCTCACAGTTCTGGATGCTAAAAAGTCCAAGATCAAGGCACCAGCAGATTAAGTGTCTGGTGAGGGCCCACATCCTGGTTCATAGATGGCCGTCTTTTTGCTGTATCCTCTCATGGCGGAAAGGACAAGGGAACTCTCTAGGGTCTCTTTTATAAGGACATTAATCCTATTCATGAGGTCTCTGCCCTTATGACCTAATCAATTCCCGAAGCCCCCACCTCCAAATACAACACGTTGAAGATTAGGATATCAGCATGAATTTTAGGGGGACACAAACATTCAGTCTATTGCAATACCTATAGGTTTGGGTTGATTTGTTCTTCAGCAACATATAACCAGAACAGAATTAAGTAACAAGCTATCAAAGGAGAGTGTGACTCAGCTAGAAAAAGAATGAATATCACCCAAAGATGGATAAAGGGAACTATAGATCCCCTCTTGGGGAGAAGGGTACCATGTTTTCAGTTGCGTGGGGACAGCTGGGTCATGTTAAGTGGAAGCATGATTTTGCTATTGTCTTTATTTAGAAGTTAAGTATGGTTGAAAGAAGTGTGTACACGGGCCAGCCTGGTGGTGTAGTGGTTAAGTTCAGGCACTCTACTTTAGCAACCCAGGGTTCGCAAGTTTGGATCCCAGGCACAGACCTACACCACTCATCAAGCATGCTGTGGCTGCAACCCACATACAAAATAGAGGAAGATTGGCACGGATGTTAGCTCTGGGACAGTCTTCCTCAACCAAAAAGAGGAAGATTGGCAACAGATGTTAGCTCAGGGCCAATCTTCCTCACCAAAAAAAAAAGTGTGCATGAATGCCAAGTTGATAAGGAGTGGACTCTGGTAGCTCTGTACTGTCAATTTAGCTACAGTGCAACTGTGTTTCCCAGAATTCCCTTCCCTACATGGTCCCACATTGGAAATGGCCACAAGAGAAATTGGTACAAGACTGGGGAGGTAGAAGTGAAGCAATATTTTATGCTCTGAAAGCCAGTGTCAGGTACCAGGTACAGTGGCAGCTCATGCACATTGTCTATCTGCTGGCTTGCTTGTTGGCATAGGGCAGCACCCGGCCCTGCATGGTCTCCTCCTGAGCTTCTCTGATTCTTGGGCAGGTGTGTGAGTAGCTCCATGGGTAAGGGCTCTAGCTTCTGCAGGTCACCTGCATGATCAAGATGAGAGGTGGTTAGAGACACATGGAATCCAGTATGTCCTTGTGGGTTCCAATTTTCCTGTGACTTCCCAAACTTTGTGCCCAGCTTTCCTTCTTGATTGTAGGCCTGGCTGATCTATAGTGACTTCAGGCCCAACACCAGGCACAGAGGCAATGCCTTGCGTAGAGTACTTCACTGGCTTCCACAGCTTTGTAAGGTCTAACCTTTATTGTAAATTCTATATTCAACCTCACTCATAGAGACTCTGCTTCTCTGATCAAACCCTGACTGATTGATCCCATCAAAAAAGATTCACACAATGTGAGTTCTAGCAGCTGCCCTAGAGTTCATCTGGTCCACTCTTCATTTTATGAATGGGGAAACCGAGGCCCTAAATGTGACTTGCCCAAGTGGCACATACATAGTGGTTGAATCAGTTTGCTAACCTGCTCTGAGACCTAAGTATTTGCCAGTTCTTTGATTTATGCAATCGCAACTGGCTTGTTATACCAGATCATATTATCTGTAGCAAGCACTTAATTAATCCCCTTCTGTCAGGTACTGTGCCCGGGTGTTTTACGTAGATTACCTCATTTAATCCACATGCCTTCCACAATATATCCTAAATCTGAATTAGTTCTCTCTATCTCCACCACCACCAATGTCCAGCCCTCAACAGCTCTCACCTGGACAACTGTCTCCGGACAGGCCTCTCTGCTTCCACCATCGCTCATTGACACTCTCTTCTCTACACAACAGAGGGATCTTTTCCAACCAGCTTCCACAGGCCACGTTCCGCTCCTGCTGAAAACCTGTCAGTGTTTTCCCATTGCTGCTGGAATAAAATTTCTTAGGCCTACAAAGTCCTGTAAGATCTGGCCCCATCACCCCTCAGCTTTGGTCACACTCTCTGCTTGCTCAACACACTCCAGCTGTATTGACCTTCCTTCTATTCCTGAAACATGCCCAGCTAATTCCTACTGTAGGGTCTTTGCTATCTCCTCTGCGTGGAATGTCACTCTCCTCCATCTTCCCATGGCTGCTCCTTCCTGACAAACATCTTTCCTCTGAGAGGTCTTCCTTGAGCACTCACATCTCATCCTTCCCTTTAGTCCCTCACTTCGTAGCCCTGTTTTATTTCCTTCACGGCGCTTATTGATGTCTACCACTCTCTTGGGTGTTTACTTGCTTACTTCTTAATTTTCTGTCTCTCCTAACTAGAAAGAATCTCCACAAGGACAGAGTCTTACCCGTGTTATTCACTAATAGATCCCTGGTTCCTAGCAGGTGCTCAGTAAATTTTTTTTTTGAGGAAGATTAGCCCTGAGCTAACATCGGCTGCCAATCCTCCTCTTTTTGCTGAGGAAGACTGGCCCTGAGCTAACATCCGTGCCCATCTTCCTCTACTTTATATGTGGGATGCCTACCACAGATGGCTTGCCAAGCGGTGCCATGTCCACACCCAGGATCTGGACCAGCGAACCCCGGGCCGCCGAAGTGGAACATGCAGACTTAACCGCTGCGCCACCAGGCCGGCTGCGTCAGTAAATATTTATTAAATGAACAAAGCTCTTTTGTACCTACTGTTATTCTCCCCATTTTACAGATGAGGAAACAGAGTCCCTGAGAGGTTAAGAAACTTGCCTGAGGTCCGACAGTAAATGGCAGAATTGATATTCCAACACAAGTACACCTGACTCCACATCCTGTGCTTTTGACCATTATGCATCTGACTTTAGATGGCTTCATTGCCTCCACAAGTATCCTGTGGGTGCGAAATGTATCATAAGATGCTAGAACTACGAGGAACCTTTGATAATCAGCTAGTTCTTGCCTAATTATTATGGTAAAGATAATCAGTTAACAACTATTTCCGGAGTCTTTATGATATGTACTGCTAAGGTAACCAAAATTGCTCCCCCAACCAGAGCAGACATTGAGGATCACTCATTTATCACATCCTGGGAATTTCCAAATGCCTGCATTTTTATCTGATTTTCCTTCATTAGCCCTCAATGTTTCAGTTTCAAGAATTTGACTGAATTTTAGGCCTACCTTAGTTTCTGTCCATTATTTCTTTCGCCTTCAAAAATCCATACCTGGGGTTTCATTTCTATTCTAAAACTAGAAGAAATTACACATTTTAAGAAAGCAATTTTCAGACACAGGCAAAGAAACAGTTGCAGCTGATAGCATCTGTTACACTGCCAGAGACCCGGAAGGAAACTTCCAGATCATCTTCTGTAGAACCCTACTTAACAGATAAAGAAGCTGAGATCCAGTGAGTGGAGATGACTTATCCAAGACAGGGTTCAGACTAGATATCCTTTACCCTGTCTCCAGGACTGTTTCCACCACATCACACTGTCTTCCTTCCACCTCCTTACTCGGGAAACCAGGA